ATTACCAAGTTGGAAAAAAAGTAATGTGTCTTGGTAATGAAACGCCTTTTTGGGATTTCCTGGAGAACAAGATGAGAAAAAACGGTAAGTACTACTGCCAGAGCAATATCTGCTATGAGCGCGTTTGAAGCCAATGCCCTTCTCTCTACTCCTTGAGTGTCTTCCCCCAGTGTTTAGGGCATTGAGGGAAATCTGTGTCCCTAAGATACTGGGAAAATAATCTGGGTTTGCAAAAACCTTTCCTTGCTCTATCCTTTCTCAGTCTTTAAAGATTCAGAAACTGGTAACTTATGCCTTCCTAAAAGAGAAGATGTCTACCCTGTTTGTTTTATACTTTGAATTTTCATAAAATGAGTATTCACAAAGAGAGTTTGCCAAAGAACATTTTCTAGACATCTTTAGAAAATTATCCTGGCTTGCAAGCCTCCTACAGATTAATTGTGTGGATGTCAGAAAAGATGTATGAGAGCATGTCCCATTGATGCTTCGCAAACTATGAACATCGGTGTCTGTAAGACCCCTAGGTCTTCCAGATGGCAAGCTCATAGATCCACTCTTGTAACTCTGAACCTAAGACACATAGTAAATATATTCACATCAAATTTTTAAATTGTTATAGATTATCATCCCCTCCATCTCCCTTTTCTCTCCATGCTAAATAAAACTGCTTAAGTAAAAGAAGGAAAATGTGTATTTTACACATAACTACATGAGAGATTCTACTGTCCACCTTTCTGCAAGAATGAGGAGGAGGCTTAATTAAGCTGAAGTTACTGATGGTTGAACCAAACTTTCTGTTAGTAGGGTAAAGAGGGACAATGACATAAATATATTATTGAACTCAAAGTATTGCTGACAGTCTGAGAATTCACCAGCCAAGGTAAAATAAACACTTACATATACATGTCTACCTATTATGTGATTACATCAACTTCAGTAAAAACTATTGGTGTCAGATGGTCCTTATGTCAAATAAGATTTTATTCACTGTTTTTTTCCTGATCATGAAATCAGTGTTCACTATAATAAAAACAGAAAATGAAGAGTAGTCAAAGGAACAAAAAGTAATTGAACAAAGTGACAAATTTTCTCATAATTCTATTAACTTGAAACACCACTATTAAGCCATGTGTATACTGAAAAATATTCCTTTTATATGCACTGACATAAATGTTCTATCTTTTAACTCAACTAGAAAGAATAAATTAGCTTCCCTTACGTTATCAATTATCTAGCATCACACATTTCTGTTATCTATTTTTTTCAACAATAAAAGTAATACATAACAGTACTTCCCTGAGTGGTAAAGAGTCTGCCTGCCAGTGCAGGAGACACAGGCTCAATTTCTGACGCAGAAGGAGCCCACATGCCATGAAACAACGGCGCCCATGCACCACAACTACTGAGCCTGCGCCCTAGAGCCTGTGGCCCAAAGGGAGGGGTCGCCAACGAGAAGGCCTCTCACAGCAACTAGGGAGTAGCTCCCGTTCGCGGCCATCAGATAAAGTTCACGCAGCGATGGAGAACCAGCACGGCCAAAAACAAATGAACAATACATGCAGATAATAAAAATAAATGAAAAAGAAAAGAAAATAGATATTTTAACAAAAAAAAATAATACACGCAGATAGATTAAGAACACATTTATTAATACACAGAGACAAGTCAAAGATCTCTCTCCCAAGGAGCAGCTACCAAACAGTTTTCTGGGCATCCTTTTAGAAATACCCACTGTATACACAGGAATGTATCTTTCTCTACATATTTTTAATTGTGTATAATTGGAATCTAACTACACATACAGTAAGCATCTTGCTTTTTTTTTCACTTACTATCATATGCAGTCTAGCCTGATTCATACAATTTTTCAAATGGTATACTTATCTCAATTTTCAATGATAACACAGTTTTATACTCTATAGGTATATTACTTATATAACCAATTCCCTGTTTATAGAAAAATTGTTTTCAATTTATTCTATCTATAAATAATTTTTCAGTAGATATCCTTTCCACACTTGTAGAGACATATTTATGTCTCTAGACTGTATTTCTTAAAGTGGAAATTCTGAGAGTTAAAGGATATACACATTTAAAGTTTTGTATATACTGTTAACTGAGACTTGCTTGGTTTTTTAAATTTTCATCAATTTATACTCCCACCAAGAAGATTCTACTCAACATTTTCCCCAATGATGGGTATTACCATTTTGTCTATGCCAATCTAACAGATGAAGTATGATCTCTGCTTATTTTAATTTCCATTTCCTTATTTGTCATGTTGAGAATCTGTTATTATTTTATTCATTGTTCTGTAAACTACCCATTGCTACTAACTGTCTGTTTTTCTGATACATGATACTTTCATATAGATTTATGAAAATTATATTACAGAAACTAAGCCTTTGTCTTTCATATAGCCTGCACATTTTATAAAATTCCCACCTGTTTATTTTTAATGATATTATTTATCCTATAAGTTTTCATTCTTATGTAGTCAAATTTATCAGTCTCTTACTAATCACTAACAAAGACTAACAGTAACATGTATAGAGATGGTCAAGGCATTAAATGCAGTAACTACACAACACTGTGGCTAGCTTTGCTACTTACACCACCTGTCTCTCCCTTACTCAACCATAAGATTCATGATAGCAGAGACTATATGCTGCTCACAACTGTACCTCACTTCCCAGATTAGAATATTTCCCATAGCAGGCATCCAATTAATCTCTGATGAATGAATGAAGCTTCTATTGAAACCCACATCCACTGGATTCCACGTTCCCACAACATGACACAGTCTCTGTTACCAAGGATGCCCCTTCAGGGTACTGTATAAGGAATTAAGAGGCAAAACACTTGGGAAAATATGCAAAAGGGAAAAGCAATATATATATATATATTCAGAAGATCCTTCTTAATGAGATATATATATATACATGCAAACATATATATCTTCAGAAAAGCTTCCTTAATTACACACACATACCTACACACATATACACACACAGGAATAGCAGATTAACAAAAATCCTCTCAGGAATAGCAGTGTGAAAATATTGTTATAGTTAAGAGTGAGTGTGTGTGTGCATATGTGTGTGTACAAGTAGAAAGTATATTGAGAATTTATGTCTCTTGTTGCATGAAAAAATTAATTTGAAAGCCACAAAACACACATAGCCTGAAATCACTGTATGCTATCTTAGTTACATATGTTGCTTTTATGCTAATATTTTCCATTACAATGTGAGTTTTAGGGGGTTCTACTTATGTCAGTTTTAAGTCCCTTAAATGAACTTAATGTAGCTCCCTTAAATCCTCCCTTAATCAAAAAGGATTAAAAGAATTAAAGAAATAAATGCATATATTTAAGAAAAACATACTATATATATATGCATATATAGTATATAACATATAGCACAAATAAATGTACATTTACTGCGTATCAAATCTCTGATATAAACTAATTCTAGACAGTCTGAAAGGACAGTGCTGGTTAGAGGTAGAGAGCTAGGCAGGACTGAGAGATCAGAGATAAAATGACCGAGGTCACAGGGCAACAGAGGGACACACCAGCTATGGGGCTTGAGGATTCAAGAATACTCAAGTATTTTTCTTACTGTAGAATAAGAAGTTGTATTTCATGTATCAGAGACTCAATGAAAATGCTGACTGTGTGTGTTAGGGCTTCCTGGAGTCTGAAATAAATGTCAGTGGAGAGAAGAGGAAGAATTGAGAAATTAACAAGAAACCTATAATATCAGGTTCTCAACAGGATCTTGAGGTTTACATTTCAAACATCTACTGAACACCAGCTATGCACCAGACATATAGGCTACTAATGTATGAGATGTGTGATGCTGTGTTCAGAGAATGAGTAACAGAGTATAGAATTTCAACCTGGAGGGAACTACAAAAAAAACTTTGTTTCTTCCATCTTTGATAAACCAAAAGGAAGGTGTATCTGCAATAATCATGATGCTATGACCTTCTATCAGCTGATATGGAACTTTCTTGCTATACCCAACAATTACAAGTTTATTTTCTAAGACACATTTAAAAGGCAAAAACAACATAAAAAATAAAGAAGTGGAAGAAGAGAGCATTACTATGAGGGAGAAGATGACAACAAAAGTACCCAAAAGAAGTGAGAGTATATGATAAGAATAATATGTTATGCTACGCCTGTGACGTAAATCACCATGTTAAAGCCATCTAACCACATTATGACTGTGTGTAAAGAGCAAACAGGAACACAGCATAAACTACTGCAATTTTTGCTGAGTGTATGCCAAGCACACCTAGAAGGTGCAGATACAGATCTCCACAAGCTTAGAGGAGGAGATCTCTGACAAGATGGAATGGTGAGAAGATGGGCTCACGTGGGACTAACTTCAGAATCAAAAAGGAAGTATTTAATGTGCATCCCTATAAAGTCCCCTCGCTCACAAAACTATACCCTAGATGACTCTCCTCTTTTAATCAAAGGTAAATCTACAGCTACGGCCACCTTTCACGCTCAGAAATGGATTTAAATATTAACACTAAACATCATTTACTTTCGTGCAATAGTGAAACATGAAAAGCCTCAATTAAGAAGCAAGTTATAAAGCTGCTGTAACTGTTACATGATCATGTTGAATAGACATAACTCAGCTGCCTTGAAAAGCCAATCGTAGTTCTTAGGGCTCACGTGGGACTAACTTCAGAATCAAAAAGGAAGTATTTAATGTGCATCCCTATAAAGTCCCCTCGCTCACAAAACTATACCCTAGATGACGCTCCTCTTTTAATCAAAGGTAAATCTACAGCTATGGCCACCTTTCATGCTCAGAAATAGAGTTAAATATTAACACTAAACATCATTTACTTTCGTGCAATAGTGAAACATGAAAAGCCTCAATTAAGAAGCAAGTTATAAAGCTGCTGTAGCTGTTACATGATCATGTTGAACAGACATAACTCAGCTGCCTTGAAAAGCCAATCGTAGTTCTTACCCAACAACTCATACAAAGAATTCAGAATCGATTTCCAAGATTCCCCTGCTTCTCTCCCAGCAACATCAGCGAAGTGTGCAGCACTGCTATACACATGCAGCCTGTCTATACACTCGAGCACAAGGTTGATCATTCCCTGGAAAGGTAGAAAGATAACCATCAGAAACTATGATTCTGCTCACAGGCAAAAAAAAAAAAGAAAAGAAATTGCTAAGTTGATTTTTTTTTTAAAAGTCTGGCTTAAAGTAAGTCTGTTAATCATAAAGAACATTGAGATCATTTATTCAAAGAACAGGAAGAAACACATTTGCATGCGAAATAAAATGTTCTTGAAATAATTCAAGTGGTTTTTAAATCCTGAGTGCTATTCTCAAATAGAAACAGAAAAATATAAAAATATGTATTTCTTACTTATTGTAATAATTTGCAAGGTTTAATAGTAGGTTGATTAACTACATCAAACAAGCATTCTACTATGAGTGAAGAGGTTCAGAGAGTGCCACCCCAAAATAAGCCACTTCAGCATAAGGAATATTAGGGCTGAAGCCCATTGAGAAAAATCAGACACGAATAATTCCTACCCTTCTCCACTCCGTCAGGAAGGACAGGAGGATGTCTGAGACAATGCCAGTCTATTATCAGTCCAGAGCCTGCACAGAATAATCTATGCATCAAACTAGTCATTATTATCCATTAGTTTCCACCTTATATTTACCTTCTAACAATTTGCTGCTCCAGCAGCTCCCCAGAAACTCAAAATCCCTTTCCTTTGTCTTATCACTTCTCTACAAATTAATTGTTTTTTTTTTTTAATTAGCATGCTATATAAACCTGAGTTCTAACCACTTCATGAAAGACAGGCTAGGACCTGGGACCCTTTGCCGCAATGCCTGCTTGCACCTGGACACACGTCTTCTAGACAACAAAATATAAAGAAACTGTATGGGATTAAAAATAACTGTGTACATGCACAGATAGGACAAATTCTGGACAAAAGATACAAAGAGACAGAAAAACTCAACTGCCACTTTTGAAGAGCCTGAAGCAAAATCAAGGTACTGCACACGTCCCCTACACACAGTATCACTTAGGAGGTGGGCAAAGCATCCAGGCCAACCTCCCACCTGACTCCTGGGCACATGCTACCTTGCCCCATGTAAGGAATCAGGTTATCCCCCTCCTTGATGGAGTGAGCAGGCAAAGGAATCTGTTGCCTGTTCTCCCTTCCCCTGTGCTATCGCAGGGACCCCAATAAAGCCTTGCCTGAATTCCTTGCTTCACCTCTGATCAATTTCTACTGACTGGGGAAGGCCAAGAACTCTGGTTGGTGATACTTGGAGTTACTCATCGCAGAGTACTCCCAGGTACACACACAGTGCATACATTAGAAATATTTCATTTGTTCTTCACTTGTACATCTATCTTCTGTTGATGCAACCTGCAGGGCCCCAACCAATGAAGCTGAGCAGAAGAAAATGATTTTTCACCTCCCCTATATAAGCATGAGAAGAGATCATTACTCTTAGGGAAGATATAATCACAACCACCACCACCACCACCACCACCATCTTCATCACTTTTCAATAGTAAACTGAAGATATACTAAATACAGGAAAGCTCATGGAAAGACATTAAAGGCAAATAAAAAATTCATTATAGAAACTTTGTAAGAAGCTATCTACATTTCAAATTATATTTTTATTATTTCTAGATCAAGACTGTCAAAATGAGGCAAAGCACATTAATGGAAAAGCTATGAGGAGTTGACAAATTAACTTACATCACACAAAGAATTTAAGAGGGACCATGGCCCTAAGAACACTTCTAGGTTCCCATCCAGAGTGTGTTATATGAGAAATACACTAATCCAAATCAATATTTTAAATTTTCACAGCTCAGTATTTCATTCTAGTTCTTCCAGATATAAAATAAGTGTGGTACGCCCAGCAGTTTGGCATGTACAAAAATAAATAATCCCAGGCAACTATTCCATGTTGCCATTATAGGTTTATGTTGACATTTCCTGTGCTTTCTTGCCATTACGATCTCTAAGTGGGTTATTTCTTTTGTACACAGTGAAAAATAAATTCTCAAAAATTAGTTATCAGTTTCAATGGCTTTTGATGGAAAATTAGGCAACAGCTTTAAAACTAGAAGACTATAGACTGGGGGACTATGGGAACTCAGTTAACATCCACTAATCTTTTTTTTTTCTTAGTTACTTTTACTCAGAAAAATGCACTAATCCACATAGTCCATTAGTACAGGTGGAACTGAGAAGAAAGGGAACAGAGGCTGATCTGGCCTGATCTGCCAGTTCAACTCTGACACCCTCCCACTGAAATTCTTGAATACTAGTTCTAACATTAGCATTAGGACCATTAGATACATCACATGGTCCTTCTGCTCCTCTGCCTATAAATTATGGCTTGAGTTCTTTTTAGCAGTGGACTTCTGTAAAGTATAATCATATATAGAATCTTAACACATACAAAAAAGAAAAAGAGGGATTGCTCTGTCTGAGCACGGAGCCTAGAGCCAGCCTCCCCAGGAGGCCCTCTCCCAGACAGCTTCCATCCCCAATACAAAGCTCCAGTGGGTCCTGAGGCATTTCCGAGGAGCCCCAGTGAACCTGTTGAACAGTGTGAAAACCCCTGTGCTTTTCAAAGACTGTGTTCATTTAGACATGTTGAGAGTCTCTTTTTATATGATGACCATAAAGCAAACTACAGCACAATGATCAGAGTGAAGGCTGAGCAGACGGTGAAATAAAAATGTCTTTTGCCAGAGGAATGAAGAGTGTCATCTTTTAAAATTAATACTTACTGAGAGAGCAGTAACAACCATTGCAGGATTCCTCCAAGGTCTGACTCTCTTCTCCCCTTGTACAGCAGCACTCCTGCTCACAAGTACCTCAATATGCACATGGTCAAACGGGTAGAGAAGGTCCGACACCAAGAAGCTGTTTCCCCAAGACGACGACAGAAACGAGTGTTCGTAGAAACTCACCTCTTCCTGGAAGAGATTCTGCCTGTTCTTCAGAGCTCGTAATCTGTTCTGCTTATCTTCATGCTCTAAATGCTCACCAGGGATCAAACCCAGGTCTCCCACATTGCAGGCAGGCACTTTAACCTCTGAGCCACCAGGGAAGCCCCAGAAAGGCCCTAGTTTTCCTCAAACAAAAATAATGAATACTTTAAAATTAGAAAGGTTATAGTATATCAAGTATATATAATGCTATGTTAAAGGTACCAGTATCAAGAAAAACTCATCTAGAAGAAAATCTAAATGATCTGGAGAACTGATACCTACAAAACCATGGTCTAAATAATCAGAAATCAGTTGATTTTCATTTTAAAGCACTACATACTTTAAGGATTGAGATGTAATTTCCCAGGTTTCTAATTCTGGAATTTACTTGTTTTTGGCATAGGAACTGTTTACTACTATCCCATCACTAATACTCCCTGTCATCCTGCCCAATTTCTGACAATTTAAAATTTATCCCTATAATAAAAAAATTAGAAAATTCACTCAATCAGAAAACAAAATATTAACATGCTTTTCCATTGTCTGAAAGAGATGTATTTAAAAAGTAGGATAAGAAACAGTATCAAGTTGTATTTTCTAGACTTTGAAAAAAATATGACTACAATTTAAATGTGATATTTTGCTGTGCTTTGAGACTCTGAATTTAAAACTCACATCTGTGTATGTATCTTAAAAGAATTTTAAACAATAGTGTTGGTAAATAAAAAGTATTTCAAAATAAAAAGCTTAGTAGAAGAATACCCAACAGATAGCATAAAGAATGGGAGAATGCCTATACTATAGTTGATACAGCAATATTTATACTGGTCATGATAAAACTTGATGCATAAATATATTACAGTTCCTTCCCTGCCCTCTGCATTAGCAAAACTGTAAGACAATATTTTATTACAAGGAAATATGTCTTTTGAGTTATCTGACTGTACTGCAATTTATATTTTTTTTTTAAATTGTTGTTGTTCAGTCACTAAGTCATGTCTGACTCCTAGTGACCTCATGGACTATAGCACACTTGACTCCTCTGTCCTCCACGGTCTCCCAAAGTGAAAGTGTTAGTCACTAAGTCATGTTCAATTGTTCACAACCCCATGGACTATAGCCTACCAGGCTCCTCTGTCCATAGGAGTCTATAGGCAAGAATACTGTGGTGGGTAGCCATTTCCGTCTCCATGGAATCTTCTGACCCAGGATTTCAACCTGGGTCTCCTACATTGGCAGGCAGATTCTTTACCCTCTGAGCAACACAGAATTGCCACTATCTTTCATGGTTTGCTCAAATTCATGCCCAATTACTCAGTGATAGTATATAACTACCTTATCCTCCGCCTCCCCCTTCTCCTTTTTGCCTTCAATCTTTCAGTCATTAGGGTCTTTGCCAGTGAGTCAGCTCTTCACATCAGGCAGCCTAAGTGTTAAAACTTCAGCTTTACCATCCATCTTTCCAGTAAATATTCAGGGTTGATTTCCTTTTGCAATGACAGATTTGATCTCCTAGGAGTACAAAGGACTCTCAAGAGTCTCCTCCAGCATCACAGTTCAAAACCATCAATTCTTTGGCATTCAGCCTTCTTCACAATCCAACTCTCACATCCTCACATGACTACTAGAAAAACCATAGCTATGACTATATGGACATTTGTGGGCAAAGTGATGTCTCTGCTTTTTAATAAACTGTCCAAGTTTGTCATTGCTTTCCTTCCAAGAAGCAAATGTCTTTTACTTTCACAGCTACAGTCACCGTCCACAGTGATTTTGGAGCCCCCCAAAATAAATATGTCACCGCTGCAACTTTTTTCCCTTCTATTTGCCATGAAGAGATCTTAAGTTTTTTGAATGCTGAGTTTCAAGCCAGCTTTTTCACTCTCCTCTTTCACCCTCATCGAGGTGCTCTTTGTCCCTCTTCACTTTCTGCCATTAGAGTGGTATCATCTGCATATCTGAGGTTGTTGATATTTCTCCCAGCAATCTTGAGTCCTGCTTGTGATTCATCCAGTCCAGCGTTTCTCATGATGTACTCTGCATATAAATTAAGTAAGCAAGGTAACAATATACGGCCTTGTTGCAATGTTTTCTCAGTTTTGAACTAGTCAGTAGTTCATGTCCAGTTCTAACTGTTGCATCTTGACCCACATATAGGTTTCTCAGAAGACAGGTAAGATGGGGTCTGATACTCTCATCTTTAAGAATTTTCCACAGTTTGTTGTGATTCACACAGTCAAAGCCTTTAACGAAGTCAATGAAGCCGAAGTAGACGTATTTCTGGAATTCCCTTGCTTTCTCAGCGATACAACAAATGTTGGCAGTTTGACCTCTGGTTCCTCTGCCTATTCGAAACTCAGTTTGTACATCTGGAATTTCTCAGTTCACGTACTGCTGAAGACTTGCTTGAAGGATTTTGAGTATCATCTTGCTAGCATGTGAAATGAGTGCAACTGTACAGTAGTTTGAACATTCTTTGGCATTACCATTCTTTGGGAATGGAATTAAAAGTGACCTTTTCCAATCCTTGGAGAAGGAAGTGGCAGCCCACTCCAGTACTCTTGCCTGGAAAATCCCATGGATGGAGGAGCCTGGTAGCTATAGTTCCTGGTGTCGCAAAGAGTCAGACACGGCTGAGCAACTTCATTTTCCAATCCTGTGGCCACTGCTGTTTTCCAAATTTACTGACATGTTGAATGCAGTACTTTAATAGCATAATCCTTTAGGATTTTAAATAGCTCATCTAGAATTTCATCACCTGCACTAGCTTTGGTTGAAATAATGCTTCCTAAATCCTACTTGACTTCACACTATAGGATGTCTGGCTCTAATTGAGTGACTACACCATTGTGGTTTTCTGGGTCATTAAGATCTTTTTCGTATAGTTCTTCTGTATATTTTTGCCAATTCTTCTTAATCTTTTGCTTCTGTTAGCTCCCATTACTGTCCTTTATTGTGCCCATCCTTGCATGAAATAGTCTGTTGATATCTCCAATTTTCTTGACGAGGTCTCTAGTCTTTCCCATTGTATTGTTTTCCTCCATTTCTTTGCACTGTTCACTTAAGAAGGACTTCTTATCTTTCCTTGCTGTCCTCTGAAACTCTGCATTCAAATGGGTATATCTTTCCTTTTCTTACTTGTCTTTGGCTTCTCTTCATTGCTCAACTATTTGTGAAGCCTCCTCAGACAACCACGTTGCCTTCTTGGGTTTCTTTTTCTTTGAGATGATTTTGGTCACTGCCTCCTGTACAAGGTTAAGAACCCCTGTTCACAGTTCTTCAGACATTCTGTCTACCAGATCTAATCCCTTGAACCTGTTCATCACCTCCACTGTATAATCATAAGGGATGTGATTTAGGTCATACCTGAATGACCCAGCAGTTTTCCCTACTTTTCTTCAATTTAAGCCTGAATTTTGTAACAAGGAGCATCTTTGTAACCAAAGATGGAGAAGCTCTATACAGTCAGTAAAAACAATATCTGGAACTAACTATGACTCAGATCATGAGCTCCTTAAAAAAGGAAAAAAGAAAAAAAAATGTTTTAAATGAAAAATTTGAATTTATGATGCTCAAAAACATAATTTTAAATATATCATCATTTACCCTAAATATTACTAATAATTTTGGAATATTTGACTTCAACCTTACAAACAGCTGAAATAGTTAAACTGCATGACTATCCTAAAGTTTCTATCTGAACTTCCAAGTCAGATATACCAATTAAATTCATCTATTACCTCGTCTTGTATCTCTGTAAATTCTTTCTATGCTCAAAAAGCAACAGAAATGACTTGGCAGGAGAAAATTATTTCTCCCTTCTTAAAATGAACACTTATATACAACAAAATATTGCTATTTTAAACATTTTAACCCATTAATTCTAGCTGAATGATAAATATAACAAAGTCAAATTCAAATCTCATCCACAAATGTAAATAAAATTCAAAAATAACTCAAATATAATAGCTACATTTTCAAACTTAAAAGGAAATAATAGCAAATGTCAGTTTTTAGATTATTAGGTTGAATATATCTGCTAGAAAAAATGTAATCATTTAATTGCTTTCTAGGAGAAACTTCTTGTCAGAAAATGCTGTCCAAGACTCTTAAAACTGTTAATGATGCAAAGTTTTAGAACTTCTATCCAATATGAGGACATTTTTCATCTTAATTTATCAAGGACAAAAAAATGAAAAAAAAAAAAAACAAAAAAAAACCTAGGGGAAACCAAAGGTAATAGAATCACACTATGTCAAAACAAAAATTAAAGGTATGAATTCCTCCCCTACTTTTCATAACTTAAAGATTAAACCATATTACAAACAGATTTATCCCTTGTCTCATTTACTTCAAGAATACATTTATTAATATATAACTACAGGGAATTAATACACTTAAAAAAAATAGTCCAGAAGAATAAAATACATTCCCCTATACACAGAAACAAATGCAAACACATGCACCCACACTCCACGACCACTACCCTAACCTTGGTGACAGAGACCAGAATGGTCACAGAAAATAAACTACATAAGAAAAATACAAATGTATAAACACAAAATAGATTTTGACTTTCACTCTATGAAATAAAAAAGGTCTGAGTTTACATATTTTAAATAGGCTTTTAATAGTATATGAATCTATATTAATAAAATGAATATCTAAAAAATTACCTTGAAAAATACCTGAATATTGCAAAGATTGAGGTTTTAAATACTTTTAGTGATTTTATGGATGTGACAGAAGTATCAAATTATGTTACTTAACATACCCTTTACAATTTCTATAATCATGTAAAATTTTTCAGTTTCTAAGGGATATTAAAGAAGCTATATGAAATTATATCAGACTACATTAAAGCTATTTAAATTCAGGAATTCAAATAATTCAGTAATATTAACAAACACATAAATAAATCTATATATACAGATACACATATATAGATATGATGAACAATATAACCAGCAGGTAAGTATTCCAGAGAGAAGAGGGAAAAATAAAGCTAAACTAGATTTTATTTTTTTAAAAAATCAGGACACAATTAAGGTTAGGTAATTGTAAAAAAAAAAAAATGGGGGGGTGGAAACTGCCTCATTAGGTTCATCCATGGCACCTGTTACATGATCACAGTAGACAGATTTTAAAAGGAGATGCTGGGTAACTCAGGAAAAGACAGTAGCTTAGTGATAGGTCTGTGGTGAGAAATCAAAAGGAGAATAAATATAAATATAGAAGTAGAAAATATTAGACTACATTTGCCAGAGGAAACATGGAATCTCATCCTGAAGTAAGAATTACATGTGTCAACTTTTGAATTACTTCTGGACAAGATAAAGTGAACAGGGACAGCATTTACTCCCTTCTGAAACAATTCTTCCCTCCTTCCACCCCCCAAAAAATACCAGACAAAATATCTGGGGAAGAACATATTTCAAGACACTGAACATCAAGATACAAAGGATAGGTAGGGTAACAACCAAGGTGAGCTGTGCATTTGCTCCAGTTTGCCTTAGAAGAATTTCTCAGCTATGATGTAGGAAGGAAGGGAACCCAAGTGAGGCACAGAAGACTCACTGAGTTGAGCAGACACTGCTGGGAGTCTGGAATACCAAGGGCGCTAGAGTTTGCAGGACACAGTACCAGAGAGGAGACAGCTTTACAACAGTAGACTCTAGAGGACTAAAGAGGATCCCTTAAGAATATTCAGCCGACTATTGATCAGCACTGCCTCCAGCAGGGAACAGAACCCCCCAAAATGATTAGAGGGGACAGTAGTCAACCCTTACACAGGTTCTGAAGTCAACCTCCTTCCATCAGCCAGACTAGAAGTCCTCACAATTCATGGGGCACCAAGTTGAGGATACAGGTAGGCTTGCTTCAGTAGCAGAGAATAACCAGCCCTAGGTTCAACCCTGCTCTGCTCCCACCCCAAAAATTCGAAAAGCAAATTCCAGAAGAATCAAACTTGACTGAGTAACTTAACTGCCTCCCAGAAAAATCTTAAAAACACTGACAGGAAGACAAAAATATACAGTACCCAACAAATTTACAATGTCTGACAACCAAACAAAAATGACCAGATATATAAAGCATATAAGATAATCATCAGTAAAAATAAAAATCAATGAACCAAAAAAACTCAGCTGAGAATATTATACCCAGGGAAAAAAAAATCACTTAAAATAAAGGTAAAATAAGAACATTTCAGAAGTAAGTACAGTGGCCAAAAGTGCTGATCTCCAACTGAACTGCACCATAAGAAATGTAACAAGAACTTTGGGAATAAAGATAAACTACCTAAAGGAAATGCAAATCCTCAATAAAATAATGAAGACAAAAACAACTGAAATGATAACTCTGGGCACAAAATGTTAAATGTTTTGTGTGTATTTAAATCTCTTTTAAAAATCTAACCTTAAATAAAAATTATAAGAATGTAGTTTGGGGTTTATAATATCAATAAAAGCCAATGTATGACAAAAACATGACAAAGACTGGGGGAGAAGTATTCTATTGAAATGTTCTTATATTATTCATAGAGATAAAATGACTTGAAATTACAAGTTAATGACAGATGCTAAAAATATTAAGCAACCATGAAAATGACAAAAAATTATAACTAATAAGCCAACAAAAACAAGATCAAGATAGAATTGTAGAAAATATTCAAACAACACAAAAGAAGGCAGAAAGATCACATTGGACAAATCCAAAAGGAATAATAAGGTGGCAGACAAAACTGTACATCAATAATCATACAAATATAAATGGACTAAATTTTACAGTTAAAAGGAAGTGATTGTCAAAGTGGATAATAATTCAAGACTTAACTACATACTGCATGAAAGAAATGACCTTTAAAGATGCAAATAAGTTAAAAGTAAAAGTTCTTTTAAAAACATACAATGCTAACACCAAGAAAAGCAAGAAAGCAGGAGTTTAATATTAACATCATACAAATTTGATGTCATAGGAAATACCAGGCAATTTCATAATAAGGGGGCCAGTTTATTATATTCTAAATTTTTATAAATCTAACAACAGAGCTTAAAAATACATGAAGAAAAAAACCAGAACTGCCAGGGAGAAGTAGAAAGATCCGATTATAATCAGAAATTTCAATACCCTTCTCTCAATAATGAATAGAACATACAGACTGAAAATCAGTAAGGAAACAGACAACCTAAACAACACTATCAGCCAACTAGATCAAATGGACACTTGTTAGTACTCTACTCAATAAAAGGAGAATGGGCACATGGAACATTTATTTCCCAGTGCACACAGAATACTTAGCAAGATCGAACATTTCCTCAGAGAGCAACTAACGGCAAACATTATGAAAATGTCTGAAAGGACTTGTGACTGAGTTGATTTGAATGATCTTGGTTATAAAGCTAATAAAAGAGGGATCCATTCTTAGACTGAGCTATAACACTGTTCATGGTTCAGTAACAGTGAGGGATATCATTTTTTCAGGGTGACTTGGAGTAGTCATGCCTGCCTCTGCATCAACATATGCACATCCTCCAGTGTACCTAAACCATCTCTAGATTACTTATGATAGACATTACAATGTAAATACGAAGTGAATAGCTCCCAGCTTGCAGCAAATTCAAGTTTTGCTTTATGGAACTTTCTGGGCATAAGTCACATCTGGATAAATTTAAAGGCATTCAGTCTTTTAAGTATGTTTTCTGACCTCAAAGATATTAAATTAGAAATCAGTAACAGAAGGATCTTTGGAAAATCCCAAATACATGGAAGAGGAGGGCATGGCCACCCACTGCAGTATTCCTGCCTGGAGAATCCCCGTGGACAGAGGGGGCTGGCGGGCTACAGTCCACGGGGTCACAAAGAGTCAGACACGACTGGGCAGCTAAGCACAACACAAATATTTGAATACTCAACAACCTATTGGTCAAAGAAGCAATTAAAAGAGAAATGAAACACAGCACAGCAAAAAGTGACAGGGGACAGTTAAGGACAGATATGTAAGCACTAAAGGACACAGAAAAGGTCTCAAACTAATGATATCAGCCTTCATCTTCTGAAACCAAAAAAAGAAGAGCAAATTAAACCCAAGGGAAGCAGAAAAAAGAAAGACTGCAAATCAGAGTGGGAATCAGATAATCTTTTAAAATGATTATCCCTCCCTCAGTTCCAGGACCTTCCTCAGATATCAAAATTTATGCTCAAGTCCCTTTTATAACAATGGTATAGTGTGGATTTCCTGGTGGCTCAGAAGATAAGAATCTGCCTGCAATGCAGGAGACCCAGGTTCAATCCCTGCATTGGGAAGATCCCCTAGAGAAGGAAATGGCTACCTGCTTCAGTATTCTTGACTGGAGATTCCAATGGACAGAGGAGCCTAGTGGGCTACAGTCCATGCGGTCACAAAGACTTGGACACGACTAAGAGACTGAGCATGTGTGTGCATGCACGCACACACACACGCACATAATTATTACTAAAAAATATTGAGTATAGTCCCCTGTACTATCCCATAGGTCCTACTTCATTAACTATTTTAAGTAGAGTAGTGTGGTTATGTTAATCCTAAACTCCTAATTAACTGCTCCTGTCCTCTTTCACTTTTGGTAGTCATAAGTTTGTTTCTATGTCTATGGATCTATTTCTATGTCTATGGATATTAAGTATATTTGTATCTTAAAAAAAAAACGTTCCACATACAAGTGAAATTTCACTTTCATATAACCTACTAATAGTCTTCTGTATACTTTAAATCATCTCTAGATTACCTACGTAATACTATGTAAATAGTTGTAAATACAATATAAATGCTACACAAATAGTAGCCATCATGCTTCAAATTCAAGTTTTGCTTCTTTAAACACTCTAGAATTTTTTTTCCTAATATTTTTGATCCATGGTTGGTTGAATATATAGATGCAAAATCCTTGGATATAGAGAGCTATCTAAAGTTAAATATGGGTTATATAACTAACCCATTTTATCAACAGAAGTATAATGAATGAATTTCAATCAAATAACCCAAATAAAAATTGAATTTTATTATGAAGCAGCAAATACTTATTAAGTACTTTTGCCACAGAACCCAAATTTCCCATGTTTGGTTCTCTAATCAAATTAAGCAAGAAATAAGATTCTAAAACTAATCTTCCAAATCACAGGTTCTTTAAAAAAAAAAAATATGAGTACTGTTGAGCACAGAGCAAATGTGTGAGAGTCAATCACATCCAAGGTGAATTATCGTATCTTGATGAACATAGAAAATGTCACTTAAGGCATAGCATCACTACATTAAGTCTAAACACTGATATAGTATCTTTCTGAGAAGATATACTTTAAAACAAATAATTTTTTTCTGTTATTAAGCTAGCTCTTTCTTGCCAAATGGAATGTCAACAGTGCCTCTGAAAATACCACAAAAGTCACATTGTAATAAAAACTTCTATAGTTGAAGAAGTCAGTACTGATGGATAGACTACACAGAAAATAGGCTATTTTAAAAATTTATGATTATTTTCCTCAATAGAACTGATTAAGCAGTAGGATAGAGAGGGGAATACCAGACCACCTGACCTGCCTCTTGAGAAATCTGTATGCAGGTCAGGAAGCAACAGTTAGAACTGCACATGGAACAACAGACTGGTTCCAAATAGGAAAAGGAGTACGTCAAGACTGTATATTGTCACCCTGCTTATTTAACTTATATGCAGAGTACATCATGAGAAATGCT